TTATAAAGAATCAAATTTTTTTAATAGATCACGGCATGTGACAATTGAATTTTTAGCATCTGTAGTCCCATCACTAGTCTTTCATATTGACGTTTAAGATCACCAACTTATCTTAGAAGCGATTCTGATAACACTAATATTTAACACAAAGTTATTACATTGAACTTTTTAACGAAACAACTACTGTAATAACAATTTTGAATAAAAGTTTGGAAATTCACTTAATTTTAGCCAATCCGAATTCTTGATTCTTGTCGATCAACCAATAAAATCGAGTGCTAAAATGCTAGAAATACATGTTACACGAGTAACACTGAATAAGTTCACGTGATGTAGGATAATTTGTGAAACATAAATTGACATGTAAGTTATAAATCGTTACAATTGTAATTTACTATCTTTTACTTTATTTCGTTAAATATAAAGTTTCGATTTTATAATTTAATAAAAAAAAATTATCGAAATTAAAAAAAATTTTATTTTCATGTGAAAAAAATATAATAGATTTACTATTTATTGAAATAAAATTTGTAATATGAGTGGGTCTTCGAGAAGTGGTATAGGTAGGTACGTACGTACATATAATATATTAACTGTTAAGGGATGTCATTAAATGTTAAAAAAAAAAAAAAATCCAGAATTCAGCCACATTAAATATACATGAAATTAAGATCAAATTAGAAAAGATTCTTTAATGCTGTATATAAATTACGCAATCATATTGTCGATTAATCAATATTGCAACGATTTTTTATTTTTTTTTATTTTTTATTTTTTTTAGTCTATCAATCTATAATGGAGGAGGAAAAAACTAATGATAACAATGTATTTACAAGACGTTCAAAAGATGGATCTAGTAGAAATAATCCTGACGATTTGATATTAGAAGATATTGAAAGTATTACTAATGTTTCTCCTTTCGTATTGTTTACGGCTTTTATTGTAGCAATATGTGGATTTATGTTTGGGTAAATATGTAAATACATGTAGTCTTCATTCGAATAGTTTGCTAGTTTATTTTTACAATTTTATTATTGCCTTATAGATATGATACTGGAATCATTAGTAGTGCCATGTTGCTATTAGAAAAAGATTTTCCAATGACTTCAATTACTAAAGGAATAATTGTTGGAGGTTTGTAAGGATAAAATATCATTTTTTTTTAAGAATTTCTATTGATAATGTATATATATTTTTTAGCTACGACACTAGGAGCAATTATTAGTAGTGTTTGTGCTGGTGAGTAAATGAATTTCACTTTTTTGTATTAATTACTATATTATTTATTATTTATTCAAAATTTAACAGGTGCGCTATCTGACTTTGCTGGAAGGCGCGTCACAACAACGGTTGCTGCAATTTTATTTGTTTGTGGCGCATTAATATTATCGTTAGCACCTTCATATACTTCCTTATTGATAGGAAGGTTGGTAGTTGGATTTGCAGTTGGTTTAGCATCAATGGTAGTTCCAATTTATATAAGTGAAATCTCACCAAGATTTCATCGAGGTCGATTAGTTACAATAAATGTTTTGATGTGTACTGGTGGACAATTAATTTCTTATTTAATTGCTACTGGGCTTGTATTTCAAAATGGTTGGCGATGGATGTTTGGAATTTCGATAATTCCTCCGTTATTACAACTTTTTTGTAAGTAAAATATACAATATTATCGGTTTAATATATTATATTAATGTTATAGTTTGATGTAGGTATGCCACTTGTTCCTGAAAGTCCAAGATTCCTTGTGAGAAAAGGCAAAACTGATGATGCAAAAAAAATCTTGGCAAAGATATATCCTGATGCTCCTCAAAAATTTTTAAATGAAGGTAAATGAAACTATTTAATTTACTTTATATGAAAATAAATCTTTTAAAATAAATGATTATTGTTATTTTATGTTTATAGAAATTGATATAATCTATGAGACAATTGCGTTAGATGCCGCAGGATCTTATAAACAATTATTTTATTACCCAAATTTAAGACCACTTATCATTGCATGTGGTCTTCAATTATTTCAACAACTATCAGGTTTTGATACTGCTATGTACTATGGTGCAAGTATTTTTAAAATAATTAATATTATTTTGAAATTTAAATTTAATAATAATAATGATAATAATAATAATAATAATAATTATTATTATATTTCATGTAGGCCACTATAATGAAAATGGCTGGATTTACTAATATCAGAGATGCCATATTATTTTCCATCGTTGTGTCTGCAACTAATTTTATTATGACAGGTACATTTCATTTATATATAGTATATTTTGTTATTTATATAAATATTTATAAATTTCAAAAATAGTTATCGCTCTCTATGTAATTGATCGTGTTGGTAGACGTCGTATACTTTTATACACCCTGATTGGGACCATTATTGGTTTAGTTCTACTTGGGATAGGTTTTATTTTTGTAACTGGTTTAGTAGTAAAACAAAATACTTGCGCTGATTATGGAAAAAGATGTGGTGCTTGTTTGATTGATGATAGATGTGGATTTAGTAAACTAGGAGTTTGTGTGGAAAAAACTTCTTCAAATGATCAATTATACGATTCTTGCCCTTCAACAAGTATTGGAGGAAATTGGTTTACGTTATCATCTTTGGTAATTTTTGTAGCATGTATGTTATGATGTGATATTGTCATATTATATTATTTTCATTATGAATATGTCAATAATAATTTTATCTATTTTTCAGCATACGCGTTAGGAATTGGACATGCACCCTGGACAATACAAAGTGAAATATTCTCTCTAAATGTACGTGGTAGAGCTAATGGAATTGCTACAGGTAAGAATGAGTTTTAATACTTTTTTTTCTCTTTTTATAACGAGTTTTATAGTTGATATTTTATAATTCTCTTATTTAAAATATGTAGCAACAAATTGGTGTGTAAATTTAATAGTTGCGGTTACATTTTTGCCATTAACTGAATTAATAACAGTCTCAGGTAATATTATTACTATAATTAATGTTTATATATTACGGTTACAATATGATATCAACATTTATTTGAATAAAATAGGAACATTTTGGATGTATGGTGTATTCATGATTATAGGTTGGTTGTTTGTTTATTTCATGGTTCCTGAAACATCGGGAAAGTCACTTGAAGAAACTCGTGAGCTATTTTTATAAATCGTATTGTTATATAAGTTGTATACGTAGTAATTTTATAAGAGAAATTTCTCCAAAGTGGTTAATTAGAGCTAACTTTAACGAGTAATTTACAAATTCAAAAGAGTAGAATATAACAACTTAAATAATGTTTTATATCTCAACAAAAAGTAAAGTATTTTGCATTTTTTAAACAAATGTATTTATTTTATTCATGTTAATACAGTATTAGCAAATAAAGTAGATAGTTCTTTAGTATCAAATACAGTAAATTATAAATAAGTAAAGGGTAAAACTCTCAAAAATAAAAAAAGATATTACATACACAGTTTTTTTTTTAAAATGTTTATAAAAAATGTAATTTTTATTATTATTAACTATTATAATTTTAAAAAAAAACAATGCTTGAAAAAAACCACTACCGTATATTTTACAAACAAACAATAAAATTCTTTTTTTTTTTTTTTTTGTTTTCATAACTAGTTAAATTTACAAAGTCCAATCCAACAACTAATTAATATCATTCAAAATATAATTTTATGAATTTGCAAGAAATAGAATTAAATGAAAAATAATAAAAAAAATTTTTTTTTTTTTAAGAAAAAAAAAAACAAATGCGTATGTAATTTTGAGAATTTTTTTTTTTTTTTTTTTCTATCCCTTAATTGTTTTCTTTTTATCACTAACAGTAGATCTAAATGCTAATATAACTTTTGACATCAATACAACTTTTCTCACTTTTGAAATAGATCGATTAACTTTTTCTTCATAGGCTTGTCGATCTACTCGTTCTCTTAATTTGGTCTTTCGTTCTTTTGTTGGCCAAGCTTTTGCAGTAAATTCAAATGACCAATATTTAAATACCATAACTTTAATAAAGTCCAATACTACAAAGTAAACTAATGAAACGGCAATGATACCAACACCCCAAGCCCAACCAATTGGTGCTGTAAGAACACCATAAATAGAAATAAACATTGCAAAAATTTGAGTTCCCATAACTGCAATAAAGAATGTAGGTGATGGAAGGTTTTCCCAGAAAAATCCAGAAAGACGAGTAGAAAAGATTACGAAATGTGGACAAGATGATATGTGAAGATACATTATAGTTTCTAATTTTTGATCAGTAATTCCAATATTAAAAACATAACGTGCTACATAAAAGTGAGCAAAGGAGGCAGCGGTCAAAAATATAGCTAAAACTATTGATAAGACGATTAATTGTCCAAGACGCCATTTATCAGGACGTTCAGAAATTTTTGTATTGTCAACAGAAATAACAAGAGTAGCAGCATCATTTAATATAGCAATTAAAATTAAAAGAATTGCACTCATTTCCCAATTTTCAGCAAGGATAATACAAAAGAAGAACATTAAAAAGTGTACAGTGGAAGTGATACGATAAAGGGAATATGATCTCATACGTTGGAAAATAGCACGTGAAGTCGTGATACCATCTACAATAGTAGATAAACCAGGAGCTAATAATACAATATCAGCAGCAGATCTAGCAGCATCAGTACATCCATGAACGGCGATACCAACATTTGCTTTCTTTAAAGCAGGAGCATCATTTACACCATCACCAGTCATACCAACAAGAAGACCACTTTTTTGTAAAAGTTCGACAACACGATATTTATGTTCTGGAATAACTTGAGCAAATCCATCAGCACGTTTACAATGTTGAGTAATTTCTTCTTCACTTTTTTCTGGATCAACTAAATGATTTGCATCAAGAATTACACGATTCATTCCAAGTCTATGAGCTACTTCTTTTGCAATAATTAATTGATCACCAGTAATCATTTTAACATCAACACCAAAAGAATTACAACGTCTAATTGTTTCAGCAGAATCAGGACGAGGAGGATCGAGAAGAGAAATCATACCAATTAATTCAAAATGATCAAGATCATCACCAGTAGTACGAGCTACACCAAGAGCACGAAGACCACGAATAGCTAAAGCATTTACAGCACGAATAGCATCATCATCACCACCAACTAATTTAATTATAACTTGAGGAGCACCTTTAGCTACTTTAAATACTTTTTCACCATTAAGTGGAGCAACAGTAGCACAAGTCATTTTTGTTGTAGGATTAAAAGGAACAAAAGCAGTAACTTTATATCCAGGAATTTCATGTTTATTTTGACGATCTTTAAGAATTTCAAGATCATTCTCAGCAGCAGTACGAACAGCACTTTCAATTGGATCATTAGCACCAGGTTCAGCGGAAAGATAAGAGTAAAGTAAAATATCATCTTTTGTATAACCAGGTGATAAATAAGGTTCATCAAAAGTAAGTTCATTAAGAGTTAAAGTACCAGTTTTATCAGAGCAAAGGACTGATACAGAAGCCATTTCTTCAACAGCGGTAAGACGTTTAACAATAACTTTTTTAGCGGCAAGTTGTTTAGCACCGACAGCCATAGTAACAGATAATACAGTAGGAAGACCGACAGGAATAGCAGCAATAGTAAGAACCAAAACGTTACCAAGGACGGTAAGAAAATTACCTTTTTCAGTACCACGATAAGCAACCATTTGATAGATAAATATAATTCCGACCAAAACAACGGTAATTAAAATTAAAAAATTTCCAATTGTATTAACAATTTTTTGGAAATGACCTTGTTCAACAGTGATAGAAATTAAATTTGCAGCACGACCGACAAAAGTATCACCACCAGTTTTTGTTACTATAGCTAACATTTGACCTTGTTTAACTATAGAAGAAGAATAAACAGTAGCACCTTTTCCTTTTTCAACAGGTAAAGATTCACCAGTTAAAGCAGATTGATCAATAGAAAGAGTTCCTTCAGTTTCACCACCAGTAACAGATATACCAAGTAAACGAGCATCAGCAGGAACGATATCACCAAGACGAAGACCAATAACATCACCAGGAACTAATTCAGCAGTATCAACTTCTTCAAATTTACCATCACGCCAAGCTTTAGCTTTTAAAGCTAAAGTTTGTTTTAAAGCATCTAAAGCATTTTCAGCACGAGCTTCTTCAATGAAACCGATGAAAGCATTAACGAAAAGTAAGGCCAAAATAACCGAAAAGTCAAGCTAATTATTAAATAAATAATAATAATAATAATAATAAATAATAATAATAAATAATAATAGATTAATTAAAAATTAAAAAAATTAACGCATATCTCCGAGGTAAATCCCGATAACAAAATAGGTAACACGAATCAAATTACCTATTTTGTCAAAAGAAAAGAGAAATTAGGATACATACCCAATGTTGTACAACACCAGCAAATATACAAGCTACTTCAATTAGATAAGCGATAGCACCGGTGAAATAAGACAAAAACTTTAAGAAAGGATTTGTTTTAACTTCAGCAAGTTCATTACGACCAAATTGAAGTAATCGTTTTTCAACTTCTTCAGTGGTTAAACCATGTTTAGGATCAGTATGAAGTAATTCTTCTAATTCTGGTGGAAGTTCCTCAACATTTTCAACATGATGTTGTTCTATTAATTCTAAAGGTTTTTCTTTATTTTCCACTTTACTACTACTACTACTAATGTCTTCCGAGATAGTAATTTTTTCTTCAATTATTTCTGACATGTTTGAAATTAGGTACGTAAAATAAAAGTTTCTTTACAATCTATTTGTAATATAATAAAAATTATAAATTTACACTAAAAAAGTTTAGGGGAAATTAAAAAAAAATTCTAAAAAAATAATATAAATGTACTAACTAAAAAAAAAGGAAGGGAAAAAAAAAAAAAAAAAAAAAAAGGTAATATTATTAAGGAGGAATTGTAAATAGATCAGGGAAAAAAATTAGAAAAAAAAATATTCCTTCAAGGTAAATAATAACCAAAGAGGGAAGAATAACTTTTTTTTTTTTTTTTTCACAAGAGCATTAAAGCATTAATACCGAATTTTTGTATTTTTTTTTTTTTTTTTTTTTGCATTCAGAGGCCAAAGCTAATCGCATTTATATAGTGTAAATAATAATAATGACACAAGAGCACACGTTTGCAGGAGATAAGGGAAACTAAAATGATTTTGGTACATTAGGTGTTACACTCGATAATACTCGATAATCTATAACCGCTTTGAATTATTATTCAAAAGATTTCGAAGTGAATGTTACATTTATTTGTAATAGATTAATTATACAATGATAATATAAATATTTTATATATTATGTGTGTTTAAAACTATACGTATAAAATATTATGTACTGTATTAAGTGTAAACTACTAATCTAATTAAAATTTATCTCCGATATTTTGAGATATTTTAAGCGTAAATGATCGTGCGACCCATTTATTATGGGAATCTAAAAATCACGTGTATAATCAATAATAACTTTTACAATAGGTCTTTAGTACATACATAAACAATATCGTAAAACGTTAATGGTAGAATTTTGATGCTTTTTTTCGCCAAATGTAAGAGTACATAATTGTCACTCTTTTTGCCATGTTGATCTCGCGGATATTTAATAAAACAGGTTAGAATAAACTTTTTTTCAAAGGTATTTTTTTTTTATAAATAATTTTATATAATTGGATAAAATTAATTTCAATGCCAAGCTTACAAAAAAAAAAATCAAAAACAACAAATAAGAATAAGAATTTATATTTTTTTAATATAAATAATTGTTACTCACTAATATTTTGTAAATCTATTTTACATTACATCGATTAAAATTGATAATGCATGAATTTTCTTTTATCTGCATTATCAATGAATTTATTTAGCTAGCTTAAAAAATTTATATAATTTCTACGTATCATATTATCAAATTAAAAATATTAATTTCTATAAAAAAAAATTCATTAATAATAGTATGTATATATTTAATAAGTTAAAAGTGTATCGGTATATTATAAGAAGTTAATACGGATAGCAACCTATTTTCTATATAAATAGAGGTAAAAAAAGGTTATTTTTTTTAATTAGTAAACCACCTTTTTAAGGCTGCAGAAATTTTCATGATACGTATTGCATAGAAATTATAATCGAAAGAAGAAAATAGATAATTAATTATATAAATTTCTTGATTTGTACTAATTTAGTTTAGTGTATATTTTATTCGACCCTTTGTCTTTTAGTACTCGGCTAATCCCCCACTGATAGGCTTTCCCCAAGAAATGATAAACTCGGAATATCTCCACTGATGGATGAGTTAACGCTAAATTTTGTCTTTTTAATTAAATAAGATCTAATCTTCATCAAAAAAAAAAAAAAATATCGAGACAAATCATGTTTTTTAAAAAAAAAAATAGATGGATTACATATTTTTTATTATCAAGTACAGTACAATACGGCCATTGCCTGGATTTGTAGGTTACATTACATAACTACTGTATATACAGATATACTGTATATGCATGCACGCATGCACGCATGCAAACGTAAATATTATTTTCGTAAAAGATATTGTTAAGCACATATATACATATCAAAAGCCAAATCGATCATACACACAAACAATTAACGAATCTTTATGAATTTTGAAATTTGATGAAAATGAGGTGGTAGGAATCAGAAACATTCTGGTTTGATTTCTTGCAATTATATTTGTGTGTAAAACGTGCGCACTGTTTACGATATATTAAAGTAATTGAAACCCCCCTCCCCTCATTTGCAAGTAACCACTATAATAAGTAGGTATCACACGTAAAAGTCCGCACATGGAAATTTGTTTACCAACAAAATAAATGATAGGTTGTAGTCTTATTTAGTTAATTTATTTTTTATTACGTATCAATGTAATTTTATTATTAGTTTAAGTTAGTTTTATTATTAGTTAAGTTAGTTTTACTCCGCAAGGTAAGTATACCTGTCTTTCGTCCTTCTGGCGTATGTATTACAATTCAAATCTTGTGATAGCAGAATTTGGAGAGACTAAAAGCTTTTTAGCTGATCATCAACTCGCATAACCTTATGTCCAAAATCACAAAGACCTGTTTACCCATGACATGGATGTCATTCTTCTAAAGAATAAGATCGACAATTAACCCTATTAAATTATTTCTTGGCTACATTGAATAGATATGTAATACAAAACATATCTAAGCGGTTTGTGCCGAAATAAAGCTATTTTTATATTTGTTTGTTATCATAAATCATTTTTCCATAATAACGATAATTAAATATATTTTTTCAAATCCACCGAAATACGCCAAATGATTCATGTTCTTTGTGCTTATCCTTGAATGAATATATAACTTATATATATATATATGTATATAATGAATATCACGTGAAGTAAAAATAACAATCAAATAAGCTCTCTCACCCTTATGCAACTCCCCTTGGGATATATGCATTTTAAAGGAGTGTGTTATACGTACGTACTTGTAGCGTAAATGCTACGTATTTTATAAATGGAATTAAACTTTATTGACTTAAATGTTATTAATTATAACATGAAACAAGGTTTCTTAATATAGTTTCTTGATATAATTTCGGTGAAATTTTTTTCCCCGACCTGTTATTCTTGATGTCATAAATATCCCATCTTTTTGGTCCACATGATGTTTTACAGTATTGTTTTTCCGTCATCTCATTGGAAATTAACATCTCAAGTGTGTATTACTTAATCTCACATTCGGTTTATGTACAGTATCCCAAATTAGACTATATGCGTACTAAATCCTGAAAAGTCATTATTTCACAATAAGACCGGTATCTTTTTTGGTTATTTGAATAAACTTTTAGAATACCTCTTTTATGAATATAAAACAAACAATTCTTTTAAACGCGCAGCAATGCATGCTTACTATATTTAATCACTTAAAAAAAAAAAAAAATCAAAAATAGT